AGAAATTAAATTCATGGCAAACACATGTATCTGTATCGATCTTTACATTGGGAAGACCTAAACTTTGCAGAGGCTGAACTGAGCTGCATACATAATAGATTAATTAAAATATATATAGTGTGTATAATATATAATGTATATACAACTTTAGTGAAACGAACTTATTAGTATCTAACAAGAAAACACAATAGAGAGGAAATGTAAAAAATTCAAGAATTTTGAAAACAAAAGAGCATATATTTTAGGGGAAAAAAGAGCATATAAAACAATACAAAACAAAGCATGGGAGACAGTGAGAGTGTTACTCGACGCCTTTGAGCCCGATGTCGTGCAGCCAGACTATAGTGGCTTTATGAACTCCTATGGGCTCAACAATGTACACGTTGTTCATAACTCTACTCCCTGTATATATATGTGGTTATCATACGTAAATTTACGAATTAGTTTCACGCAGAAAATATGTAACGAGTAAATAGTCGAGCAATTTTGATAATTATGGAAGAAGCATGAATAATCACAACAAGAAAAAAACATACCAGATGCCATTTTCGACGAGAAGAATTTCTTGTTTTTCAACCGTATTTTTTAATTTATCTCGAAAGCTTTGAGAGATTGAAAATATAAGAGAAGATAGGCAAGACATTGTTATTTATACAACAAATGAGTCTTTACTTATTTTCTTTTTAGGAAAAAAATAGACCATATCCCTAAATTAAGTTAGAAATCTTACTTTCACTAATTGGGTGGAAAATGTTTTTAAAACAAAATCTTTATCAGAGGCATTATTTATTTAAAACAATTAATAATATTTTTAATTATTTCACAAAACTGACAAATTAAAGCAAAAAAAGTTAACTTAATTGGGTGGAACACAATCAATAGATATTATTATATTAGATGCACAAGAATACCAAATATATATATATATATATAATAAAAGAAAACACTTAGCACCTCATCAAATATGTTTTAATGAATTTATAACTTTTATCTTATTATTACTAATTAGTTTTGTCTAAACACTTTAATACACTTCCCATCTAAAATGTCACAAAAATTATGTATTCAGCTTTTTTTTTATTTCTTAATATAAAGTTTTTAAGATTTCAATGATAATCTAATAATATATGATCTATATTTTTATTTCTTAAAAATACTTTTGTTGGATTTCCATATCAGTGGTTTTTTCCAACATCATTTATTTATGGTGATTTTTAAAAAATATTGTGGTCTTTTGTTTTCAAATCATTTAAAAATTAAAGAATTCTAAATTGTCTTCTATACGTGTAATTGGTATCCGAAGCACAGTAACTTCACCATCAATGTTAAGTGATAATAGCCATATAGTTTCTTCTAAATTTTGGAATTTTTTCTGTCATCACTATATACATTTTTCTTCTTCATCGTTAGAAGCAAAGAAGTCGTAAAGCTTGCTCGATCTCTTCTCCTATGCGAGATTTTGATGTAAAATTAGAAGCCACTAAACTTATAGCACATAAAGATTTAATGTTATTGATGGATGAAGATAATGTTGATATATAATAAACTTAGATTGTGTAAGGTCCCAATATATCAATGGACAAAGAACTTGATCTAAGTGATTTTCCTCGCATGGATCAAGGCTTTCCTCCCATGACCAAAAGTGGATTGATTCACACACTATAAATAACAAGAACACAAAAGAATAAATAATTTCACTTGTGAAATTTAGAGAATAAAACAGAAAAGCGAAGCTTTAAAAAAGAAAACATATTGATTTATTGATTATTAATAAAATGATTCATGAGTATTAATTACAAGGGAAATGATGATTGAGATTATAGCCTACGAGATTATATAGTTTTTCTATATATGTTTTTACAAGCTTAAATAAAAATAAATAAATAAATAACAATTTAAATGTGAAATTAATCAAAGTTTATTGAGTAAAATGGTCATTATACATCGGTCTTGTTTAGTATGAAGAACTTGAAGTTTCTTGTACCTAAATATTTTGGACATGAATTTGTGTTTTCTTTGAAGTATTTAGTCTGTGTAGAATGTCTCCAATCAAGCTGGTTCAAGTAAATCAGAAAGATAAATTCAATGATCATATTCGATCTATTTGGTGTCGGATATGGAAAGTGGAAGCATCAAGAAATTTGCCTGATCTGTTGCGTACTGGTGCAGTTGAACCATTTCTAAAGAACATCTGGATAAAATAGAAACTCTCCTGAACTTCAAAAGTAAATTTGCATTGATCCACATAAAGACATATCCAAACTTGGACAGTTTTATTACACCTAGTTTATAAATTTGGTTCTGATTAAGTCTGGACCTGAATAGATCAGGTCTTGATTCGCCATGTTAAGTGAATGTTTTTGGTAGATTCAACTACTAGATGTAAGCAGTGGTGAAAATATAATAAAACAGAAATTTATTGATGAAATAACATTACTAGTAATGATTCAAAATGTACGTAATCAAATTCTCATTAAAATAGTCATTGATGATTATAATCGGATAAGAACATGTATATATAATCAAGAGATTTGTAATAGTGTCGTTGATGTATCTCAATTTGAATTTAAATCTACATATTGCATGGTCTAAGTCATGTGGTAAATTTTACTAGTAATTTTATGTTATTTTATTTTACTTTATAATCCGAAGAATTTTTATTTGGTAATAATAATAATGAAATTTGGATAATAAAATGGAAAGCAATTCACTCATATAACTTTTTCTTATTTATCTGAATATCATTGAACCCAAAAATAGGGAATAATTAAAAATGGAGTTTGTCTCCGAATAACAGAATAGCAGAGACTGAATACTTACATGAGCTCCAAAACTGAGGTGAGCAACAGATCGAATAAAAAATTTTAGCGTAGTAATAAGTCTTTGTTTTCTTATTAAAGAAACGTAACTACCTAATATTTTAATGTATAAATACTGTAATGCAGTAAGTAAATGAAATCCATGTACGTGAGTCGTGACTCGCCACGTATCTAGCATCTTCCGTAACATATTTTTTTTATTATTTCGTGGCACCTCTACTGATAGGTTGTCATCAAAAACAAGATAACCTAACATTCAACACTCGCACATGTCTCCAAGTTTCGAACTTCGTCTCTAACCTAATCGCGACGCGTGGTTTAACACGTTTCGAGAAATCTGCAACATGTATCTTGTTCTCGGGCCGACAAAGACTTGGTATAAAATGTCTCAAACATAAGAGTCGGAGATATCTTCCAACACAGGTTCTGAAAAATAGCTTTTGATCATCAATCAGCCATTCGTGTTTTCATTAAATATTTTGGTTTCGAATTTTTCGACGAGAGAAAATGGCTTCTCATCAAGAACAGGGTTTCAAAGCTGGTGAGACCAGAGGCCAGACTCAGGTATACTAAATGATTTATCTGTTTTTGGGATATAAGTAGTAAAGTACTAAATGATCTATAGTTTATAAGATTTTGCAAAAACTAAAGTAAGATAAAAATGGTGTCAGTTAGGTCAAAAATAAAAAATTGAATGAAGCCACTAGTTTACGATAATATATCGTGTTGTTTAATTGATAAAACAGTCTGTTGTTTATATTTCTGCAGACATGTTTTCTCATGAGTAACTTTTTTATATAAAGAAAAGCATAGGTCTGTTTTTTGCTTGATTAGATAATATAACAACAAAAGACTGTTTACAACCAATGTGTCTATGCTGATTATTTTGTTTTTGGAAATAATTCAGATTATCAAAGAATAAGAGCTAGACAGATTGAATAGGAGTGACTATAACACAATAGCCACAATCTAATTACATATTTAAGTTAATTACTCTATTAACCTTTGTTTGAATGTAAATCCAATATCGAATCATAGGAGAAGACAGGACAAGCTATGAGAACGATGAGGGAAAAAACAGATGCAGGTAAGGACAAAACTCAAGGAGAAGCCCAATCAGCCCAACAAAAGAGCCATGAAACAGCTCAATCAGCTAAAGACAAGGCATCTCAAGCCGCACAAACAACTCAACAGAAAGCTCAAGAGTCCAAGGAAAAAACGGGAAGCTACATGTCAGAGACAGAAGAAACAATTAAGAACAAGGCACAAGATGCAGCAGAGTATACCAAGGAGACTGCAGAAGCTGGTAAGAACAAGACCGGTGGGATCTTGGGCCAAACCGGTGAGCAAGTGAAGCAAATGGCTATGGGAGCTACTGATGCGGTTAAGCACACTTTAGGGCTTGGTACTGATGAAGGAAACAAAGAACACGTTTCTTCAGCTCCAACCTCTACTACTACGACCACTACTCATGCGACAGAGAGGAAGTGAGATGAAGAGTTGTTTTCTGTTCTTGCTTTATACGTTTGTTTGTTTTGATTTTGTTTTGTGTTGTGTGATTCTGCATGTTGATCTTCGTTGTTGCTTATTGGGTTTAAATCCGTTTATACGTACAATATTATGTAATGGTTTGGTTAATTGAAGACTTGTTTTATCCGGTGAACAGAATTATATTTGTTGTGATTCTGAATTTGATTAGTAGCCACAATAATTATGCTGTTACTGATACAACAAGTTTTGTACTTATTTTAACAAATGTAGTCACGTCATAAATCATTTACAAAGAAATGTATAGTGAATTGAATTTTGCGTTATAAAAAGATGATACAAATCATCAAAAATTGTAACTAATTTATTTGGTAAATCATGTTACGTTATTCTGCCTTTTTCTTAATTTTAAATTATTTGATTTAGTAATTTTTTCTTACAAAAAAAAAATCAATTTCCTTAAATACAGGGTATTTTTTTATAGAGAATGAGATGATTCATCATTTTTTTCAAAAAAAAAAAAGAGAGATAAATTCAACAAAAAAAAAATTGATGAGATAAAAGAAAAAATTGAAGAAGAAAAGTAGAGGGGGGAGGGGAGGAGACAACAATCAAGATGTGAAAAGTCTTTGGTTTCGATATGAAAGAACTTGGAAAAGCCTTATGAGAAAGAAAAAAGAAAAGCATCAAACCTCTTTATTCATGATCACGAATCCAACATGGACAAAAGATTCAAAAGACAAAATAAATCACAAAACAACGAACCATGAATTATATATACCCCCAAGAAACCCACCATTTATACATTCTCTACTATCTCAAGTTTTACATTAGTTTTTTTCCCTCTCTCTTCCCCCACCAATTTCTTTTCGCTACCAATTATTCTTTGTTCTTTGAGGCCAACCATATCTCCTATATAGCTAGATGCATTGCATCCTGTAAAGTTTAACGTGAGCCCTCAAGCCCGAGCCTTGTTGTGAGCCAGTGAACGACCTCATCCATTTCTTTGGGAATGGTGTAGTGACCAAGTCTGCAAATTGGCATTAACCCAAACTATTAATTAACAAGTATGTTCAAACAAATGATAAATTAAATTCATGTTTGCAACTCTTAGCTAGGTAAGTGAAGTTTAATTACCCTTCGTGTGCCTTAAACACGACTTGTCGAAATCCAGCTATGCCAAGGGACTGCGCAGATTTCTCTCCAAACCTATAAGGAACCACATCATCGGCTGTGACACAAATAAATCGGTAAAGATCAGTTTTTTTCACAGTCATTATCTAAAGCGAAAAAAATGAATATATGTAGATTACAAAGATACGTGTTTACACATACAAGTTCCATGTGTAAGAATGATTGGTAAAGATGCAGCACGCCTTGCAGCATCATATGAACATTCTATTTTGCTCCTTAAGCTCCTACAAAGTTAAGTTTATAGGCTTCTATTAGTAACGTAACGTTAAAAAAAATTAAAAGAAAGTTCACACAACAGGAGGGCTTGAAGAATAATTACTTCCAACCCGGAAGCCAGCCGCTAAGCCCTACAACAGCTCGTAGGTTTATAGGATAAGTGTGGCCAGTTCCATAGCGTCCAAGAGCATAGCATGTGGCAGAATAGAGAGATATTGCTGCTCCCATGCTAAACCCTCCTATCCCCACTTTAACTATAAAAATCAGAACAACAATTTAATGATTAGCAAAAAAATCGATGTAATTAATGCATACTATAAAATAAGTTAGCAAACAAAAAAATGCATACTATAATCTAAAATTAGGTTATGTCTCTTGCTTACCATCTGCTGGTTCAGAGGACAAAAGGTTAGCAATATGTGAAGCTGAGGCATCTAAACCTTCCATATCATCATGACTGTCTTCAGAAATTTCCCCAACATCAAACCCTGATTAATGTAGAACCATATATTCAGTCTCCAATTTTAGTATTACTTTTATAGGCATCGAAGAATGTTTATTGAATATTTCAAGCGAATAAGTTTAGAAGAAAGCCAAACTAATCTTACATGCAGTGCAGGTAAATCCACCAAGGCTTGAAACAGGACGTGTAGGAGCGGTCGGGCAAATCCATTTTATCTGTGAATATCATATAACTCTTTTTCAGAAACTTCGTTGAAAAATACCTCAAATTGGTTTTAGTGCATCGATAATGGATTCATTATAAAATATATTAATGGAGTCTTACATTTGGAAGATGCAAGCTTTCCATGAGCTGAGATGAGCTGTAGATAAAACAGAGACAAGGTGAGAAAAGCGTAGACGTTTTAATGGAATTAATCTTGAGTAATACAGAAACATGGAATATACTTTTCCATATGAGACGAGAAAATTGTCTTGTAAATATTGCAGTGAGCCAGTGATCCACCCATAGAGCCGCGAAAGAAGATATGTACAACTTATTTTTAATTATCACAAACTTTAATGAACTTAACAATTAATATCCCATAAGAGAAGATATTCGAGAGGAAGGTACGATGGAAAATCTTAAAACTCACTGTAACATTTTTTTTAATGAATGTAAAATTTATTCAAACAGATATGTTTTATATCTAGTGCTTCATGTTTTGAATAAGAAAAAAAAAACTAAGTGTTACATTAGTTCCTAGTGCTTCATTGTAACATTTTTATATTCAGATAAAACTTCCGGAAAAAAGAAAATTTAATCTAAAGAAGAAGAAGCCCATATAAAATTTGTAGTTGAAAATTAATGTTAGAGAACATGCCAAAATTCAACTTTAGAAAACTTATTTGTTTTGTTTGCTTCTCCCCTTTAAATACACCCAAAAGATGAAGCTATTTCCAAGACATATTTAAAATTTAAGACAACAAGGGAAAGCATCATGCATGAGTTTAAGCTTCAAGAAATTGCTCTGATTCTTTAAGACAAAAGAGTATAATAATACAAACAAGCCATGTGAAGAGTGTTACCTAGAGCCATTGTCACCAAGACCATGAAGCCATACTAGAGTGGCTTGATGCTTTCCTTTAGGCCTCACCACATAAGTCCTTCCAAATTCATACCCCCTTGCATTTCTACTACCTTCAATGGTTTTACCAAATAGAGAGTCATCAACCAATTTCAAGCATAGAATATATATATATATATATATATATATTTCTTCAAAATAATCGGAGAATCCCCGAGCCGAATCCCAGACTTATCCTTTTGAAAAATTATCTTCGAGAAAAACTTGACCACAATAAGCAGCACTAACATTTAATTTAAAGAAAACATATAAATTGAAAAATCAAGAAGTGGAAAAAAAACAAACCAGAACCCATGCTTTGATGAGAATAACTCATTGTTGTTCAACAGTATCCAAACACTCAACAGATTTTTTAATTTTCTTTTGAGCCTTCAAGTTTTAAAATACAAACAAGAAGTGATGATAAATATATGAGAAGGCAATGTGTATATATACACCAAATTAAAGGGATTTTCTGGGATAAAAGAAAGAGGAGAATCTGAATCATTCACTATGGGATGCTCAATGTGTAAAACAGCTAACAAAAACTACTCGAAAAGGAATGGAAGTAAAAAGCTAGAGGATGCATCCATAGGAAAAGGAGGGTATAAAAATAGATTAAAGAAAAGAATCAGTTTTTGTTTTTCTTTATACAGCAAAAGAAATAAATCTTTTTGGAAACATAAGGTATAAAAACAAAACAGAGCAGAGAGCTAGAGGTAACAACACACAGAGAGGAGAGAGAGGGAGACAGAGAATCAATGCCTTGTGGGCAGTGGTGGAGGGAAAATAAAAGAAAGATATGAAAATGAAAAACTTGTCTTCCTAAAAGAATATCAATTCTATATAAAACAATAAGTATTTTTACCTGAAAAATTAAGGCATAATCCAAAAATGAAAAAGAAGACAAATCTTTTCTTTCAATCATGAAAAACAAAATGAGTGATTGATGGATAGTTGGATACCCATTAACTATAAGCTTTTTAGAAAATCCAGCAAGAAAAACAAATAGTTTGGAGATTTAGATTGCAATTAAGGGTTTTGTTTTAATTTTTTGTTAAAGAAAGGGATTTGTTTTATCTAAGAGTTCTTGGATATATTATAAAGATCTCGATCTATAGCAATGATGACAAGTATGGAAAAAAACATAAGAGACCAACCTGGATTTTCTCAGGTGGGGTGAAGAAGATATTGAGGAAAAAGACATAAATCTTTTTCATCAATTTCAACGCTTTGTTCATTGCTGTGTTCTGTTTGCCATTGTTAATGGTTATTGCTCCGTGCCCACCAATAGATTCAAATCTTTTGGGTTTCCTTTGTGAAAATGAGTGAGGACTGAGGAGCCCATTTCACCCAAATTAAATTTACCGTTTCATTTCAAAAATAATATATCTACAATATTTTTAATCTTGAACTACTTCTTTATCTATTTAAGATCAACAAATATTTTACTTTCTCTTATGATTAAATCTGAAAAACGAAGTTGAATGCCTTTAGTCTAGAGGTTCATAAGGGTTTACTTCTGTTACAACAGGTTAGGAATCCGGTTTCTGAAAAATGAAATTTCCTAATAGATTATAGATAAATTATGATGACATTTATGATAATGGTGAATATACAATCGCTTATCATCTATGTATTACAGAGAAAAATTATCAATTGAGTGGTTTATTATAACAGCATGTGATTTCGACTGTACATGTAATGCATATAAAACCATATAACGTAGATTAATTTGTTGGGGAGAATAGAACAATTTTTTTTTTTGTGATAGCATGTGATATAGTTAATTTCGTCTGTTGTAGATAATAAACCACCATAAATATTACGATAAAATCTAATAACCTTCAATAATAGTAGTTGATACAAAACAGAAGCGATGAAAAAAATAATTTGAGTTGTTTTTTATATGTGAAGAAAGTGGAAGAAAAAAAAAACAAATTAGATAAAAAGAATTTGTGTTAGATAACCTTGTTCCTATTCATATTTTGCTAAATGGGAAAATGCACTGTTACTTTTTCTTAAATACATTAATGCTCCTACATCATTTTTTTCCCTAGACCCCTATATACGATCTCCTCCTTCCAATAAACCATCCCCATCCTCTGGAATCTTACCCTTGACAATCGTCGTCTTCTCCAGAAACATTTTTCTTTACTTTTCTTGATTTCAAGGTTTAAATTAGCCGACTTTATAATATGCGTCCTCATCTACGAATCTTCCATTTCTTATCTTCTCGTTGAATCTTGTGCGGGGTTTATATCATTTGCAGAGATACAATGAAACTGGATCGAATCTTGCTCTAGATCTATCAAGATTCATCACAAATCATGACAATGTTTCCAGAGGATGACTTGATACAAATCTGCAAGGTGTGGAACGAGAATCTTGAATCAGAGACTGATTCGAGAAGTCGTCGACGATTTCCCTTTCGTCGCCATGGATACTGATTCTAGGCAGATGTTTTAGTGCAATATATAAGTTGTTAACATGTTAAATTTATTTGTATCGCGTTAAACAAATTAATATCATATTGTGTGAGCCAAAACTCGCACAACCAAGAATTTGTGAAGAGAAACTAAGGGATCTGAAACTTCTAGGATAATCGAAAGAACAGTAAGATCAAAAGAGGATTTTATTGCTGTAAGTGTTTAGTCTTTGTTGCTTAGGGTTGTCAGAGTTGGCGGAATGAATTGCATACATCATATATTTATACTAACTTTCTAAACCGCCTAGCCGAAAATCTCGGGCGAGATTTTCGGAATATTTCTTTATCGCCTCGTGCGGCTGACCGCCTTTGCATCTCGCCTAGGGTTTTCCATGGGCTTCACCTCTCAAGGCTTCGGTTCGGCCCATCCATGCTTCTATACGGCTCGGCCCATCTAGCCTCCTTCACGGCTCGGCCCATCTAGCCTCCTTCACGGCTCGGCCCACTTGCCATGGAGACATGATCTAGCCCACCGCACCGATACACGGCTCGGCCCAAACGTGTTGAAGTGGGGCTCGGCCCATTTCTTTCGATGCGGCTCGGTTCACCTGTCTTCTTTCACGGCTCTTCCCACTGGCCTATCTGCACGGCTCTCCCATTCGTCTTGGTGAGAACGGCTCTCCACTTGTCATGGTGAGAACGGCTCTCCACTTGTCATGGTGAGAACGGCTCTCCACTTGTCATGGTGAGAACGGCTCTCCCACTTGACCAGCACGGCTCTCCCACTTAGCGACCACGGCTCTCCCACTTATCTTTCTTCCATACTTAGCCATTCTGAGGTGGTTTATCTACTTGGGGTGAAAACCGACCCCAACACATATTTTTAGAGTAATCTAGATAGCTGCCAATGTATTTGCTCTAAAACGTAGATACCTGTCAATGTCTTAGCTCTAAGTAAGTTTCAATGTTTTGAAAATAAATAACTTGTTAGCGAATACAAATATTATGTTACAGATGATAAATAAATTGTTAGCGGATAAAAATAATATATTAAAAACGTTAAATAAATTATTAGTGAATACAAATTTAGTGTTAGCAAGATAACATATTTTTTATTGATGTAAACTTAGTATTAGCAAGATAACATAACATTTATCATGTTAATAAAGTATGTAGTATGATAATAAGTTATGTAGTTGTATAACTTATATGTTAACGAAAGAAAAATGATGAAAGAGAAACTCCATAATGGAAGAAAGACTCCTAACAAAAGAATAAGGGATTAAAAAGTAATAACACTTTCAAAGTGTCAGACAACTGTTTTATCAATTTACTGTTTTTCTCATTTACTTAATTTTGACCAGAATGTAAAATTTCTAACAAATTGTCTCTAAAATGGTAGTTCATAATGTGTCAAATAGGATCAATATTTGGTTTGGTGAATTTGAATATATATGTGTGAATCCTGAATTTGGAAAAACATCGTTTATGAAATCTAGATCTTGAAAGAATTAATCTATCACAGTTATATGCAAAACTGATAACCTATTATACTTTTAAGATAGGAGAGGTTTTGTGGAGATGACCTGAAAAGAGAATAATGGGAAAGGTGAGTGGGTCTGAGCACATGCACCACAATGCATGTGTCACCTATAGTATCCACTCTTCATGGCCCAATCACCCATCACTCCATTTTCCCCAATTTTATTAAAAGTTTGAAGTTGGTGGGTCAGTACAGAGAGTTTATACATATCGCAGTCAGAGCTGAGAAATTGTAATCAAAGTGTTTATTTAATCTATTAAGAGCTTACCTACTTAGAACAAAAAAAAAACTTATCTACTAAATAGTCATACAAATGTATCTAAGTTAAACAAATAGCATACAGTCATGTAAAATAATATGTTTTGGATAAATAACATAATATTTGTTAGATACAGGAGGGAAAAAAAGTTAGATAAATCGAAGGATTGTATTTTCTTATATTTCTTTTCACGCAAAAAAATTATAAAGATATATGAAATGGTTACTCTGTGAACACATGGTATCAAATATAGGGTATACTACTATATGATATTTGTATATTGGAGTACTTTTTTTGTCAACTATATTGGAGTAATTGCTAGCTGAAAATAATTATGGAAATGGAAGACCAAAATTAACGGGAACACAAAAATTAGTGGACTATGACATTAGACCTTTGCTTAAAATATGGCGGTATCATATTACATTAATTTATTTCGTTACAAAGGTCAAGTAATTTGCAATATAATAATATTTGTACAGTGAAAATTTCGTATAGCTTTTGCCTTTTGTTAGTCAACTCTTTTTATACCCCCACTATTTCTTAAAACAAAAAATAACATCAATTGGAGAAGAATCAGCCGAAATTAGAAAAGTTGAGTATTTATTTTCTCAAACTTCATAGATTTTGTTATTGCATTATATTTCCGAAGGAGCGATGCTTTCGGCCCTACAATGTTAACTCCTTAATGGTACTCAAAAGGTGTATAGTGTTCGTTTGTTCGTAGGGTTAAAAGGCTAATTAAGGCCATTGTATGTTGATGCGTTTTAATTATGCTTATTAACTATTTTGCATTTTTAATAATTAAGTATATATTAAGTACAAATACGTAAACTAATAAACTTTGTATGATATATCTGTTCTTTCTATATCACTATATTTTTCCGACTATTTGTTCATTTTTATTTTTAACATTTAGATAGCATATTATAAAACATTATATTTTTATTAATACGGAGATACAATATATTTCTTCTGTTCAGAATTATTTGATATTTTCATTTTTCAATGTAAAATTTAATGAAATTTTATTGTTTTTGACCTTTTATATTTTACAGATTGTCTTCTTATTGGCTGAATTATATTTAAATGAATTATAAATAATATTTTTAGTGTAAAAATTAAATGAATTCTTAATCAATGTAAAAAATGTTAAATATCAAATAATTCTGAATAGAGTGAGTATTAGATTACGAATTTAGTATGTCAAATAAAAAGGAACTCGACATTTTCTTTCATTTCTCTATGCACTTCTATCGATTGAAAAGAAAAATGGTTACCTTACTCAATGGAAATATACGAGTTCTGAACCCATATCGATAAGACCCAATATTTGATTCATATCGATAGAATTATGAATTTCTAAAGTTATATGCCGATTAAAAAAAACACGTCTGTTATATGTGATTAGTGTTGGAACCCAATATTAATAAACAGTTGGACTTGTAATATTGAGTTTGTGTGTGAATAAGAAATTAAGTTT